TGATACGTAATTGCCAGGTTGGAATGAACTAATTATGTTGATATTTGGAATTAGATCAAGGCGAAAATGATTTACCTCTGAAAAATCCACCTCAGCAGTATTAAAAATCGAGAAATTCTGTTAAAAACTTATCGAAGAGTTGAGCGTCCTCTATCGATAGATTGACATGACATAAACATAATATTACTAGCCAATGCTGACACGAGTCATAGGTGGTCCTCTTTCGGACTGTGTGGCAATGGCTAAGAGCACCATAGAAAATATTATACAGTTAAGCAACAACCGACGAAAGAAGTTATCGAGACCATCATTTTTGGAAGCGGAAAGATTCGAAACATTTCTACTAGCATCAGTTATGACTAATTAGGTTTCGCTATGGCTATTTCAAGCATCACGACCGATTTGCATCTTACTTAACTTATGCGGAGTAATTATCGCTTGAGATATCACTTTTAATACATGTAATAGGTAATAATTTTGAAGAATTTAAGAAATAATAAACTAATAATATACATATTAATATCAATAAGATATTAATATTATTAATAAAAAAGAAAATAATATAAATATATTATTGTGTCAAAGCTTCTGCTCCGAATTATACATTCATGATGAAAATGTTAAGATTATATATTCCAACATAGCAACATAGAATTGTTCATTAGAAGACTGGTTGCGGGAGATACAGGTCATGTATGCTTGAATCTGGAATTTGTTGATAATTGAGACAAATGTCAACTGAATAGGAATTGTTTTCTTTTCAATACAAATGATAACCCACCATCTTCAGATATACTGTAAGTAAACATTTGCCTTAATGGTGATATTATCTATTTCTGTGTTATCAAGCATATCGAGCGGTATCATCTTCTCTATTTTCTGAATTCTACGATTTACTGTATTTGGTATAACAACAAAGTGGAGAAGCAAATGGACAGTGACAACGCGTAAATAAAATATAATATCATTATTTCCTCTAATATCTATACGTGATTTTCTTAATACAGTTACATTCCCCTAAGTGCACCCTCCCCCCCGGGACCATAGTAAAAAAAATAAAAAGTGTGCATTTAGAGAGGTTGTGCACTTATAGAGGTCAAAATATATAGAGCTCTTATAAGCCGGAACCAGAATATACCGTGCATTTAGAGAAGAGTTATATAGTACGTGCACTTAGGGAGGGTGCACTTAGAGAGGTGTAACTGTATATCAAAATGTTTGGATGCAAGATTAATTATAACTCTTCATACCACACAGTAAACGCCTGCAATGGTCACATGCAAAAATCAGATATTTTATGTGACTGTTGCAAGGATTGTCATTCCCTAATTATATTAATGTACACTATATATAAAATTTTGTTCACATTCGTGACTATAGCGTGGTTTTGACAATTGTGAACGTGAGTATTGCGAAATTTGACATCTATATAATGTTCCCGAGAATATTATTATATGTAGGTATGACTTGTATTTAGTTTAAAATTAGTATATCTCAAAGTTTAGTCTAATTTACTACCTTTTATGCTCCAATAAAATTTCATGTGCAATTTACTACAATAATATGACATTTCTTAACCCAGATATCATTATGGTAAGTGAAATGATCCCAGATCCGATGAATAATAACTTACCACCTGGAAAATGCTATTTTGACTATTAAGATTTGGATTGAGTCAGGGCTAAGGCTGGAGATTGATTATATTATATATAAAATTGCCTTTCAAATTAGATTTGACTCAAATTCTTCACTTCTGGTATCAGATTTGTTTTGCCATGTTGATCGAAATTTTAAGGGCCATTCTTCGCTTGACATAAATATATCCTCTTAGCCCAATTCCTAATCCAATCATCAACCCCACTTAAATACTTCCTTCATATCTTCATTTTTTACCATTTCTTGAGTAACTTTTGCGATTAATCCCATGATAACCCACCAATTAAAACAAAGAATTAGACTTTAAAACTGTGTTAATTCTGATACTAATTACTAATTTTTCCATGAATTTAATCCATCATTTCTTTTCAGTACTATTTTGATTGTCTGAATGATTATCATCTTTTTTACCTAACTCGATCCCTAACATTTAAGTTTTCTAACATGGCTTGTGAACGGAATATCAACTCTACACCCTCATTACGTTTAAATTAGCAATCTGTTTTTTCAACAAGTTTAAAGGCTTTCGTTCTTGATTTTGGAGCACTAATTGACTCAGAATTATTGAACGTAATTTAGCCTTATAGCTGTCAAGGATTTCAATATGGTCTTCTGAAGTTATATGTTATTTACTGAATTAAATCTGAACATATATTTTTTTCATCCATAAGGATGATTTTATGTTTAGATAATCTGGCTCTTCACATTGCTGCATTAGAAAAATTCCTATCATAATACTCCCAACAAACTTTCTTGTCATATTTCTCCAATATCCCTATAAATTTCTCTCCAATTTAAGTCCTAAAAAGAGATTAAAAAAATTTAAAACGTTATATAGGAAAATTTTAATATTAAAAATTTTATCATACCAATTTTGTGTTTATGATTTTTACATTTATTAAAAAATGTTCACCCCTAAAACTTTTAAATATATCAACATCACCATCATCTTGTCTAGATCTATAATATTTAAATACTAAATGGAATGATTGTCAAGAAATAAGAAGAACGTTTATTATGCAGTCACGATGAGCTTTCTATTCTTAATTCATGTATTCTATTCACCACAGGCTACGGAACATATCCTATTATTGACCTTTCAGTTGGTTGGAGAAAGAACATGTTCAATTATTCAAATAATATCACATATTGTGACCACGATGCGCTTTTGCTTTTATTTCTCCAGATGGTCAAAAAATGGCATTTGACATCAATATAAATAAACTGCATGATCACGAGTAAAGTGAAAAATTACTTAGTTTGATAGTGAAATTATAGTGAAACATAATTTTGCTTAGAGAATAGTTACAGTTCACACGGAAAGTAATGGCATTAGTTTTTTTAAAATTCAGGTGAATCTTAAAGTCAACTATACAAAAAAATTTTATCTCTAGAATGTCTTTAATTAAGGCATAAAAATAAACACGTGATATATTTTCCTTGCAGATTTGAATGCAATTCAACATGCTAAAAAATCACAAGAACTTATAACTAATAATGTTATTTCAACTTCTTCTCATAATTTCAAGTTATAAATTAATAAATATTGTTCTTAATACAATTTTTTAAGCTGAATATTTTTTTACTAATGGATAAAGACTTCTCGACTTAGTAAAATTTTGCGTAATCGTGAGTCAAAATTGATGCTTTTCATGATCGAACTCTATCACAATTATTAAAAATTCTGTCCAAACCGGGGATTATGATTTTCGAAATAGAGGTTCATAGAGTGTTATGTGCTCGTTTATATAAGTGATTGAATATACCGTAGACCACTGCATACAGCACCTGGGATCTGGATACTACACTCGGGTATCAATTATATGGAAAGTAATAAATTAATATAGGTTATATCGTTAATCAAAATTATATTCATAGGATGCTGTATGTAGTGGCCTACGGTAACGAGCGTGCGAATGTTCTTAGTCAAACGTATGCTAAATAATTAGACGTGACTTGTGAATTCAAATTATATTTGCTTACATAACATTCGGTTGAAATTTTTATATGCGATATTTACTGCATTAAATTAAAATTTTCTGGTAATCAATAATTATAAGTATGTAATATAAAATACAATGGGATTATCTGCTTGGCACTTACATCTGTTTCTGAATATCACCGAGCCGCGGCAAAAGAAAATACCATCAAAATGCCTTATACAATAAGAGTCGATTTAAATTAATTAATTATCTACCTATCTATATTATCCTACTATCGCTTTATGATATTAACATCTGCGCAAACCATTACAACACCCACTTTCAACGAGAAAATTCAGTGTCCATTTCTTGTATGTAGGCCATTTATTAACTTACGACAACAAAAAAACGGTTGAAATAGTGTTACCGCAGTAACATTAAATTCAATACATACAGTTACCATTCATGTTTGCTGATTACACTAAAAATCACCGTGTGTCAGATTATTTCCAATTTAGGAATATTTTTTACTTTGCACGTATTTTCTCTATTATACGCGCCATTGTTAGACAAATTATATATGCTTTGTAATTTGTAGTTTACCTACGAAGATAAAAAAAAGTAAAAGAACGCTTGTGTCAAGATTTTGGATATGGAACTGTGAAGATAAAGTTACGAACAAAAAGAGTTAATACTAAATTTAATTAAAATTTACTGTTTGTTTAATGTTAATTTCCTGAAATCACATATATTTGGTTTTATCATGAAAAATAAAGAATGAAATTGATACATAATTAAGTGTAATGCAAATATAGAATAATAATCAACTGCTATGATTGCATTATTGAAAGAATTCGACTCGAGACGAGAAAGAATTTATTTATTGACTTACAAAACATTCTTCCAATTTTTATAATCCCATTATTATCATAAAGTGCTTTTCCTTCTCATTTTGATGAATGATATAATTAATAAGTTTTTAAATGAAAGGAATTCGTAGTCGAGAAAAATGTTTATCTCTAATAAGGCAGCAGAAATTTATCCCGAGTACATGTACGAACTTTTACATTTTTTGTAATTAGGATAATGGGTCAAATTATAGCGATAATGCTCAAAATTACAAAATCAGTAAATATCTCCAATAAAAACCTAATTACATATTGGATCATTATTAAATCAAATACAGCTTCGGCGGCTAAATGCTTTTCTTTTTAAGATTTATAGTTAATATTACTTTATCTTATTTATGATACTCTAATATATTGCCTGTACATGTTCTTAACATTATATATCATATGTTATATTAAAATTTTATTTGACGAGTACTATGCTGGAATTTTGTATAAATACAAGTAATTTTCTCGTTGCTCTCAATGTTAAAAATTATAAAAAAAAAGTTTAAATCACAATAAAATATCAAAAATGTTCAAATTAGCTTTGAAACTCAGTCTTTTCTTTAAATTAATTTTTTTAATCCACTTTATTATTAAAATCGTCGTCGCATCTAAACCAGCTGATCATCACGATTTTAATGTCCTTAGATCAAACACCACAGACGAAACATCGTACTCACCTCTTACAGACTATATGTATCAACCAGAAGAACAAGAATCAAAATACGTGCTTTCAATTGAACCCGACGGCAATGAACTCGAGTCCGATGCAAATATGCTCGAACCTCACGAAATTGAACTTGAATCTGACGGTACTGATATTTTATTTGCAGATGATGACGACGGAATAAATGCTGCGCAACGTTTCAATAGAAGAGCTGTGCGACGTCGATGCCGATCAACTTGCGTAAATGTATGCGAATATCGTCGCCGCCGTTACCGTCGTTATCGTTCTCGTCGAGGTCGTGAAGAATGTATCTCGGTTTGTATTGAAGAATGTTACCGTCGTTATAGAAGACGTTTCGGAAGAGATGGTGGGGGTTTTGGTAGAAGGGGAAGGGGAATTTAATTTACAAAGATTCTATTTTTACATACAGTTAGTGAATATAGTTATGATTGAGAATTCGGCATAGTTAATTTCTTTAATTTGCCAATTTTCGATTGTATGAATATAAAAATATTGTATACGGTATCACTTGTAAAGTTCTTAGTACTTTATCAAGATATCTCTAGCAAAGCTCTAATAAACTTTTAATATCGTATTGACGACATTTTTTATTAATTTTATCAGTTTTCTGTATAATAGCTAATAACAAATAACAAGTTAATTTACATCAGCTTCCATCTAAGAATTTTTTGTAATGATACCTTATAAAATGTTGATACAAATATTCATTTGTGCAAATGACAAAATAATATCACATATTATTACTGAGTAGCTTGTTTTATATGATTCAAGTGAAAATTCATCGTGTTCGAAAGTTGAATCATAAATATTCCAAGGCTAAGCTGCCTTGATTTAAAATGTCTCACCAAGAGTTTCACAAGACTTCTCAGCCAGAGCTGCCGCAGGTATCTTTGTACATGAATACTTTTGCACTGCGATTAGATTAATTCCAGGGTTGGCCCTTGGACCAATCCAAATGTTGTCCAAATACAGTGGCGATCAAAAGTAATGCAACACAAAATTAAATCGCGATATCTTTGCACAGACTTAAGAACATCAAATTATAGTTGATAGATTTAATTACGTATATGCAAATAACTTAAATATGATAAATTCAACATGGATAATTAAACCAATTATATCACAATCGCAACATTTATTTAATTTTTAGTGTTGCATTATATTTGCTCATTTTTAATATAAATTTGTATAATCCTTAATATAAAATGAAAACATCATATTTTTTTATTTTTTAACTATACCTGATATACTACCATCTAGTATAACCACCATGTGCTTTTATTATGTCACAAATTCTTTCTGGCATAGAACAAATTAAATTTGTGTAATAGTTCACATCAATTTCCTCTCAAACTAGCTGTATTTTTTCCCATAAGTCTTCTGTACCTGAAATTGATCCAGGAAGATACTGAAGATGACAATCTACTTCATTTCATAAATATTTAATTGGATTTAGATTGGGTGATTGTGCCAGCCAATCTAAAACAGTAATATTATTATTATCAAATCACTCTTTTATCAAATTGGCTATATGTTTGAGATCATTATCCTGTTGAAAAATGATCTCATTAATAGCTAACCCATGTTCTTTAATAGTATTCATAAGATCTTCTTCAAGAATTTCTTGATATAATACACCATTCATGTTTCTATTAATCTTACAAAAGTTACTAATGCCATGAAAGATGAAACAACTTTATACTATTACTTTTTTATTATTGAATTTTACTGTAGGTTTAATATGATGACTTTTTAATGACTTATCTGTTCTTTTCTAATAATATTATTTTCCATCAGATCCAAAAACCTGAAATTTAGATTTGTCAGACCAGATTATCTTTGATCAATTTTTATAGATCTAGTTTTTATATTTTTTAGCAAACTCAAGATGATGCTGTTGATATTTGGACTTTAGATATGATTTTTTTGTTTTATTCTTACTACTAAATTATTTTTTTAGTGTATAATGAATAGTATACTCTGAAATTTTGATATTTTCAGTTTTATAAAGATAATTTTAGATAATAACAGTGATAAAATAGTCATGATATGTAATATGACAGACTATTATTCTTTCTAACCAGTCATTTAATAACTATAAATAATCAAACTTATTTAAATTATTTAAAATACATTATTCACACCATTTTTTATTAATATATGAAATAGTAAAAGAACTAATTTTATGAGTTCTTGCTATTTCTCTTGTGATATATTTATTTTGAAATAAAATAATTATTTTAGCTCTTTCTTCAAGAATTATATGACATTTTGATGTTTGTTTTTTATTATTAAAAAGCTGTAATATAATTTAAGAAAAAAAAAGATAAATAAACAATTATTTATTTTATAACTTCTGTATAGTATTTACTTACTATTTGATTTTCTGAATAAAAGATCAAAAGAAATATAAATATTAATTTATGAAAGTTTATGTATTTATCTCAAAATTATATTTAATAATAGTAAATTAAATTTTATTAAATAAAACTGGTATTATTAATATATCATATTTATTAATTTTGTTTAAATTTTATTAGCTACTTATAAATATATCATGATTTAATGATTTTTAATTTTGTGTTATATTACTTTTGATTACTATTATATTTAGATATTAAATTACTAATAATTTTTTTTCAAGAAACAATCTTGATTAATTCTTTTAGCTTGTCTCTATATTTTAATTTGTATTGATATATCCCATTCATTAGGATTATATAATCTGATTAGTTGAAAAACTTTAATTAAGTTATTAAAAATATAACAGATTTTAATCTTTCTATTTAGCTTTCTCTAATTTATTAAGATTCTTAATGTAAATATATATATATATTTGAGATCATAGAAATTATAGATCAATGATAAATAAGCTATACTATATTATTATATGTATATAGATGATCTTTAAAATTGCATCAAACAAAACTGTGATTATTTAAACAAAAAATCAATTTGAAAGAAATTTTGCCTATGAAACTTTATTTTATGTTTTAATAATTGCTTCTAATAACTCTAATGCTTGTCTTAATTCTAACCTTAACTGAAACTTTCTAATTGACATTACTTAGTAAAAAAAGTTCAAAATTTTTGATTAGAGTTAGGATTATTAACAAAAAGATGATTTCATATAATAAAATTTTAAGAAAAATTTTTTATTAAACATAATAAGGTAGCTCATAGACAAATCTAACAAGTAGTTTTTTTATTTTTATATTATACATTAATCTTACAATTGGTACATCTTTGTAGGAGGCGCTCTAAAAAAGAAAATGTATAATATCATATGAAAAGTAAAAAACAAATTCATATTGACAACTTTGCTCTTTGAAATTCCAGCTGCTTCATGAATGAAACAAAAGCTTGTGAATACATATAGAAATCCCTAATTATTGAACTTCTCCATTTATCAGATCACTTAAGAGGATCTTATTTATAAACAAAATTTTATTTCATTTGCAGTGTTAGATTTTATAGTCATACAATTTATATAAACCTGAATCTTCAAAATAGTAAATTCTCTCTTGCTAATTTTTGATTAATTTATAAGATTTTAGAGCACAAAATAAATAATCAATTCATAAACAAAATGAATTTATTTAATTGATTGTAAAACCAAAATGTATCTTTATTTTGTTTAAATAATAATATATAATGTAATAGCGAATAAATTGACAGAACGGTTATAAAGGCATACTATTCATAACTGGTCATGTAGTTATTTATTATTTATATTTTTTTCTATTTATTAAGAATATTTTTAAGTGTTATAAAACTTATCAGAGATGAATATTACCAATGAGTAAAGACTATCTTATAATTAGCCCTTAATATAGTCGTATTTTGACGTAGTAACTTCCTTTAATATATGTATTTTAACTTAATTAATCTATTTTTTAACAAATTATATTAACTAAATGCATGTTTCTCTTCTTTATCCCTCAAAAAATCTATTTACAAATCAATAATATGACCATTTGTAAGTTTTTCTTAGCATATAAAATCCAAAATAATGGATTCTGTTCAAAGACGGCGTTTCACCAGTGACAATTAAATCAACTTTGCCGAAGACCAAGTTATTGCTGACATGAATATCACTGAAATTGTTCCCTTGCGGGAATGTAAATCTTTATCTCTTACCATAATAAGTTTATTCACTCGCCGTATTTTTTGTCACCTGCCCCCTTCGATTATTCAAATTCAATCTCATAATACAAAAATTTATTCATTTTACTTAACTTTATCCCTGAATTGGACTGCAGATTATTGGCAGCTTTATATGGTCAATTTGTTCTGAATTGGAATGTGATATATGTCATATATGTCCAACTCCCAACACAACTTGAAATAGTAAATTTTGAAATTTTCTCTAATTGAACGGAACCTTACTATAAAGTACATTTGATGATCTTTTGGAAATCGTTCACACCTTAATTAAATTTTTGTAGTTTGAGGTGTTCAGTCTCTATTGATTTGTGCTTGTTCTCATGCTTTATGCATGATTTTGGGTGGCATTGTGTATGTGCAACCTTATGAATTATTATTACCATAATTTTTAAAAGTAATATGGAAGCAAAAGACAATATTTACATGTAAAAATCTACACATTATAATGGTGTTGAATAAACTGAAGACCATCTAAATTAATTTTTACGTTTAATTCGAAGTCACGTAAGTAAACCAATCAAAGCTCATATAAGACCGATCCAATTAAATATATGTGCATACATGCGGATATCAACGCATTAGTGTAAACGTTATAAGCCTAAAATCAAATGACTACCGAATCTCTATTGACTTCACATTCAAACAAGCTGGTCGAATTTTACGAAAAGAGGTGATGGAAATGCACAGCGCACCTTTACCGCACATTCATCAATTTTAATGGTGCAGTCCCAATATTTTACTATGACACTTCTGGTGAGTTGGTGAAACGAGAAATTATAAAATGATTGTCTTAAGAAACTAAATATCTCTCCACATATTTGAAAGCTTATTAAAGATGTTAATGCTTAATATCGATATTGAAATTTGGACCATTCCAGAATGGTCTGATTACAGATTATGTAAGAAACTTGATGTCTGGTCTGGATCATTTTAGAATCGAAGAAAATCTTCAAATTACTTATTGAATTGTTTGTTTGAGTAAGCAATCTGCAAGGGGTAACTTATGGAAAGAAAATAGTAATATTACTCAAAAAGAAGATGCTACATAACGATAACATTAAATAATACCAATAATGGTAATAATGTTTTTTATTGATTTTCGCATTTTGGATGATATCTTGAGCCAGAACCTACATCAAGTCTCTTACAAGAACACCTATAATTTCGCATTCTAGCTGGCAATTACATATACATTGTATCTTATATTTCTACTGAACTTTGAAGTTTAGCTGCTTCAGTGAGAACCAAAAGTGAGATAATAGAAAGCATCATGCCAAGAGTTGGCTGTTGTGATTCTTTAATTAATATTTAGCGAAGATTCTAAAAGCAATATTAATTCCTACAACAAACTCCATTTTAATAATTTTTTAGGTATATCAAACTAAAATTCGATACCTTTGAGACGCAATATCTCGAAGTTCAACGGTTCGATTTGGACAAAATGGGACAATTCGATTTATCTAATCTAGACGAATCGAATGATTCTATTTTCTGTCCCAAATTGGACAGCTGGGCGTCGAGATATCGTCCCCTAGATATCACGTCCCAAGATACCAACTTTTTTTTTAATTTAATTATCATAATGATCTAGACGTTTTCGGTTTGCTGAAATTGCTGCAGCAAATTACTGGTAATGCAATAACTCGACACTTAACGTTAAACTGTAGTACTCGTTAAGCCACTCTTTTGCATTTCACCAAACTTAATTGAACGAAATTGGCAAATGATTAGATAATCATGTCACTTTTCAACGTATTATTTTAATTTTAATATAAATAAAAACTTTTTTTATACAATAGACACCTAATTATCTTAAAATTAGAAAAAATATATTACTATACAAATATTTAATTTCATGAAGATACATTTTTATTCAATAACACTTTCATAAATTTATTATAAAATTCAATCGGTTGAGCTAACATTAAATGTGCAGTTAATTGTTATCATTATGGTGATAAAGAACGGATTCGCTAGAAAAAAGGAATGGCATCATTTTTCGTGAGTCCAAAAAAAATTTTAATCAATGTATATAATGATAAAGTATTTAGCTCTTTAAATAAAAACGCTAATATTCAACGAGGTAAAATTATTTACTGGTTCAATCAAAAAAGTGGTTTATGAAATAAACATACATACAATAATAAACAGCAGTTTTCATTGTTGTATTGTTTATTGTACTACTTATCAGTTAGTAAAGAATATGTGTACAAGTAATACCGATACTGAGTTATTCCAGAAGATTACTAACTTGGGTGTCGTTATGTTTCAAGATGCAAGCTTTGGTGTGAAATTTCTCCTAAATGCCTTGATACGTCTTCACAGTTAGAATAAAGGTCAAAATAGGCGGCCAAGTTACTTTATTTTTTGCAAAAGTTCACTTTTTTATTTTATATATGTAGGGCAGCAACTTATTATTATTACTATCAATTTTATTTTATGTATATGTGAACAAAGTGCATCAACAGAAAGTATAAATTTTCAATTATTAATAGATTAATTATTCATTTTTTCCAACAAAATAGTATTATCATCAATTTAGCATAATTTTGCAGGAAAGAAAAAATTATACATGTACATGTATGGGACGCTGAATGAGACTTTTCGTATTAAAAACATTAGTAAAATTTTGATTTTATATATACAAACTAAGTTTGGAGAATTTAAGAATAGTTCGCCTTGTTCCATCGATATAATACAACAAATCCATTCAAACTCGAATCGTTTTTTATCCCATCAGTCCCGTCATATTTTCAAGAATTACCCGACAAAGAAGACGGTTTGAGGTCATATTTGCGAAACAGAATTATCAGTAGTAATCCGGTGATGCTAGTTAATGCTGCCATAACGATATAAACGTAGAATGTGTAAGGATCATGCGAAAACGGTACCACGAGGAGTCCTAAGGCTGATCCAACGCCATCAGTTGTAAAGAACAAAGCGGTAACCATTGATTCCATCGAAGTCGGTGCCTAATATGAAAAAAGATTTATAACATGAGATCAAATTAAAAAATAACAAATTCATGATATTTATTTTACCTTATGATATGCATACTCAAGCGCAGCTATATAGACGAAAACTAAAATAACATAATGACAAAAATTATTAAAGATGAAGTCAAAGAAAATCTAATGATAAATAATAATAATAATAATAATAATAATAATAATAATAATACCTTCAGAAACCGCAATCAGAAAATAACAAGGTACTTGCCACCAAATACTAATGTCATTCGGAACCATTTTACCATCAATAATACATAGCGTGTGTTGATAACACGGTCCCGTTTTATATATAAACCATTGAAGCACAGCAACGTATGCCATTGCCAAAGCCATACAAACAAATCCAATAAATATTTTAGTAGTTTGCAGAAGTGATACACCACATTTAAGCAGTGTTGGATATAAGATTTTATCCACAACAATGGAAATAAGACTCGCCGCCAACGGCACGATATCAGTCATTAAATCGTTTGACATCTTCCCGGATCGCATCGTCGCTCCTTGAGAAATCATATTGGTGGTTGATTGACTATACGCTGCCCAGTAGATCGGAATAAACAAGAATAGACTACAGGCTTGCAATCCTTTTCTCAGATCATCCACAAAATCGTCATCCCACTTTACATGGTACTGATTTAATTGAATGGGAGTCATGTTTGATGGTTTTGCTGAATTTAAACCACGTGCTCGACCTGTCAAAGCAATCCGAAATACCTTTAAGGAATCAATCAATATAGATCCATTAGGGGGGATTTTTTTGAAATCCTTATTCTTAAGATAAAAAATCAAATTTGAAAGGACGGAAAACACGAAGCATATTAAATAAGCCAGCCAATATGAATGATATTTCTCTATTGTAGTTGTAATAAATGGCGAAAGCATCCCGAAGTTTGTCACCACGTATAGCAAATTAAATATGGATTGAATAGTTAATTCCGGATCGACTATTACTTTTTCGCCGGTTTTCAATGTTTTTAGGTATGGTTTCTTATAAGGATATTGTTCTGCAGCTGCTACCGTATAATTGGATTTTACACCGCCACGTCCTAATCCTATCAACAAGATAGTAATAATTAAGCCTATGAATGGTGCATTGGTGTTTAGTACTGGCGGGATTGATGTTGCTGTTAAAATTAATGGTCCTAAAGCATAAATAATCCCAAATACAACGATTGTCTTATATTTTCCCCAATAGGCATCTGCAATGACGGCACCAATCATCAAAGTTGAGTATGTTATAAAGATAAAAAACAAGGTTAACGCCGTTGCGACATTTTCCCCTTTACCCATAACGCCTGGTTGTTGGCTATGTGCAGTGGGCAAAGGAAACTGAATATAGTTTTGGAGTATAGCCATTATCCCAAAAAGTGTGAATCGATCGCAAAATTCGCAAAAAATCACAACTCGACATGCTAATGGGATTCAACCATGTCATTATATACATGTCATTAGTACTTTAATGGTGAAAATGAACCCATTTATTAGAATATTTAACAATAGAAACTAACATGTTGGAATTTCATCAGTAACTGTGCGTAAATTCGTAACGTTGTCATCAATGTATGTTATATCATTTTTAGTTGGTATTCCTTCAATCTTTTCTTCCGATTTATTCGGAGATTTTAGTTCACGTTCATGTTTTGTCATGTTTAAGCTTTGATTAATTTTTAATAATAAAAATCTAAAACAATTAGAGTTAAGTCGTTTTTTATATTTAATTTTCCGAGTCTCATGCACCCCTTTTATTCAATTGCAAATTTCCTTCACTGCAAACGTATTTTCCTTATAAAATGTGTATTTTATTTTAACAAAATTTCTTCGGTCTAGTGTTGGTCTATTGCGATAATCATGCAGATAAATTATTCAGTGTGAACTTTGTCATAATACATGTATATGTAATTAGTATCGAAGGATACAAAATAAATCGATATGATTCGTGTAAGTTTCGCCTTTCATTTTTTTGGATATATCGATATGCATAGGTTCGAAATCAGTACGTACATTGTTTTGTTTGCTGATACAACAATGATACTGTGGTAGGTTAAACCTATAAACAGAGAACGGTTAAATGCGTAGTCCATCATGTGATCAATCCCCTTAAAATTTTCGGAGTTTACTTTTAATGATTTTTTATGATTTATAAGGTCTGGGTAAGGGTAACGGTTAGGACAGAAAACAAAATTATATGTAAAATTGCAGTCCCGACAATTTTAATTAATATTCCAAGACAGATTTAGGCATTGGTTTTCGAGTAATATTCATTGTGTCGGATTTGTTTTGCCGGGTTATTCAAAAAATTTGCGCACCCTATTGGACATGGATCACATGATGGACTATGCTTTAAATCGTTATGGTGCATAACATCTATACTGAAATTTTGAAATGACGATCTTCACGTGATATAAGTATATTTGTTAATTTTTATTGGCTCATTAAATCCGACACTATATTATAACGTTTATTCATTATCTAATTTATTTAACTCCTCAAAAATACTTTTATACTTATCTTTATGAATTTCTTCTTCCAATTCGGTTGTATTACGCGGAACACTAAAAAAAATAAAAGTAAAATAAAAATGATGGATGAAAATAAAATTTGCATTGATTGATGAGCAAGCATACCTACCTTTGACTCCGTACAATTCTCCAATGGCGAGATATGCGTATCTCGCCAATTTTTTTCCCGTGTTACTGTAATCCCGGAATCAAGTGACTCAGTATAGTTTTCAAAGTCATGTGATTTAAATGATCGACATCTAATTGCTGATTGGTCTAAAATAGACGATCGGCATCCGAAAATAAAAATTCATTAATAAAAGTGATCATTTTTAAATTTAAATAACTTTACAAAATACTAAATAATTAAAAAAACTAAACCGTGAATCTGAAAGAGCATCACTAAAATTATCATTTTCACTGTTTATATTTTAAATATTACCCAAATTGGAAGACTAGATATATTTAGAAGTTATTCAAAATTGTTTGATGATTATAGATGTTACGCACCATACAATATGCTTCCCTCGTTTAAACGGAGACAACAGTAAAAGGAAATTAGCTGGTCTATTGAGTTCACTGTGCAAGATATTGTTGCAAGTTGTTCTTTCCTTCGCTTAATTTTTGTTAATATTTAAAAATCTCCAAATGAAAAAATCGCTTTTGACGATGAAAATTTTAAAAATACATTTATTCCACTATGACTCTGTAGAATATTTATGAAAAGAAAGAAGAAATGGATATTCTGTATTATTACCGTAAATTCGGCAAATAATACATGTATCCAGGATTACTTACTTTCTAGGTGCCAAAAATTGGGTAGTACCACCGGATATCTTGTTAAATATAGAGCATTCCATAAGGCGCTACTTAAAGTGGAACCAGGTATAATAATTGTTATCTACCTGTCTTTACAGTTCCCCTTCGGAATGAATACTAGGTATTAATAATGGGGAATACTATCAAGGAGGTACTTTTTGCCGAAATTTACGGTAACAAGTTAATCCATCAAAAGGGAAATATAATGCGAGAATTAATATTTGAATACCTTTAATAATATTAAATAAATATTGAATCTAACAGAAAAGAAAATGATTTAGGAAAGATATGCCTAAAATCTGAACTTTGTATATGTTTCTCAACTCTCATACGAGATGAACTCTCGCTTCCTCTTTGCGCAAACGACAATACTGTATCATTTGGGTGAATCATTTGGTGCAATTTCTATTGACTCACCTCGAAAACACGCAAATTTTTCAATTAATTCTGTTATGTTTGTATGAAAAAGTCAATCTTGAAGTCAAAAATCATTTAATTATTTAAAACTGAAGAATCTATTATATTTGATTTTGCTTTGATTTATAAACTTTGTTTTATTGCATCTAATTTAATTATCTATCGACATGTGTCGTATCGTTATGCGATCTTTGTAGTAAATAATAAAATAATATATACTTATCATTAATATTGATTAATATTACTTGTAATTATTGATAATCATCAATAATTATTAATTAAATAAGACAACAAAATCTGATTAATAAAGAAGCTTTCAAGAGATATTAACAAATAATAAAATATAAGAATTTATTATTAAATAAATTAAAATTAACAAGATTTTAAATTGATAAATATTATAATATACTTGCTAAGTTTTTTAAAAAGAATTTAATACATTAATTTATAATAATCAAGTTAAAATATTTATTTCTGTTATTTAGAAAGCATAAATATTATATATATTAATATAATAATAAATATTAAAGATAATAAAAAAATAAAATAAATTAATATAATAAAGTATTATAATTACTTAAATTTTATAGAGCTATTAAAAAAGAACTGCTAATTCACTCTTGTTTTATAATATGATATATTTAAGAAAGATAAAAAATTGTAGAATTAAAAAAAAATAAATAATATAATTATATATTAATAGAAAATATTGATAATATAATATGTATAATTTTTATATTTAATTAGTAAAATAAATTTCTTATAAATAATAAATAATATAAAGTTAATCTTTATAATTATAGAATATAAATATATATATTATTTTAACATAAATAAATATTAAAAAATTAATTTATTTAAATAAAATATAATATAATATATATTATTAATATATTATATTAATATATTATATTAAATAAATATAATTATATAATTATATATTAATATACTTATATATATATATATATTTATATTTAATATAAAATAAATATTATCTTTAAATTTTGCATATTTCTTTATATAAAAATCTTATTCAAAACAAGTAAATAATATATAAAAAATTATATTATTAAGTATTTGAAATATTTATATATACTTATATTAATACTTAAAAACTTAAAATATTATTTATTATATATATTTTAATTTAAAATTAATAATTATTATTAATTTTAAACTAAAATATAATTATTATAAAGTTTTGACAAAATAATTCTATAACATTATATTTTTAATAATTTTCTTATTTATTATCTATATTTTATTATATAAATTATTATATTTATATAATAAAAATATTATTTATCATAAATTTCTTATTTTTAAAACTTTATAATATTTATAAATTATTTATAAATAAATTTAAATAATAATTATTTATAATTATATATAATTAATTATAATTATTATTTTTTAATTATTATTGTTATTTATAATTATTATAATTATTTATAATTATTTATAATTAATTATATAATAATAATTAAAAGTAATATAATATATAATTTATAATTCATATAATAATAGGATAAATCTATTAAATAATAATAAGACTAATTTTGTTAAATCTTGTAATAAATAGAAAAAATAAAAATTTTCAAGTCATAAATAATACTAACTTATTTTTAATTTATTATATAAAAATCTAGTTACTCTATATCTTAATTATCAAATAATTTTTTAATTTATCTTAAATTTTTATTAAGCTAATTATTAATTTTACTTAATAATATAGTTAATAATATAATATTTAGTATTTTTTAATTATTTTAAAGACTGATTATAAAGTTTTTAAATGATTCAAGATTAATTAAAATAAAAAAATAATAATTATTAATATTTTTTAATATATTCAGACAAATTATAAATTAGAACTATAATATAAATCTATATAAAAAAAGATAAATAAAATAATCTAATAAAAATATTTATAAATAAAGATAATATATATATATAATATATATTTATTTATTTTTTAATTTTTTTATTATAATTATATTTCAAACTCTTTTTTCTATTATTTTTACTATTTTTTAATAATATTAGCTTATATAATAAGAGATTTTATTACTTATAATTTTCAATTTTGATACTTTATTTTTTTCAATTATATTTCTTTCTATTTTTTATTTTAACTAAATAAATATATTTTTTATTATATAACTTTCATTTCTATTAATATTATTATAAGATTATTTTATTAATAGTTGTAAACAAGATAAAATACAATATAAATTAGTTTTAATTTTATAATTTATGATTATTTTTATTATTTAAAAGTATTCAGATCTGAAAGAAAATTACAAAACAGAGAGATCTTATTTATAGCAAAAGAAATAAATACAAAAAATAAATAAATTAATAATAAAATCTATTTTAAAAT